AAAACCATAATTAAAATACTCCAAAAGAAGACTTATTTTTTAATAATTTAAATTTTTTAGATTTGTTATTATTGTTTAAATATTATAAATTATGATATAATTAAACTATATAAAATTGAGTTTTAATGGGTAATTTTATAATTATATTAAATAGTAAGTGTTTTCCATAAAAACCATACTTAAAATGCTCCAAAAGAAGACTTCTAATTTTATATATAAAATTAATGTAGATCTGCTGTGATTTTTTGTAGTTTATAGAAAAAATAATCTAAAAAAATTTACCAAATACACATATATCTAAAAACACTATATAGCTACACAAAAAACTCCCAACCGCAATATCAAATGCATCCTATGTCAAAATTTTGTTAATATATATATCTTAATATTTAACCTCCTGCTAATAATATTTATAAATATATTTTATATCTCCTAAATCATAAGTTTGGTAATAAAAATTTAACACTATCAAATGTGAGGCTAATTTTAAATTTTTATTACCAAACTTTTGATTTTTTAGATATATAATAGGGAAATAATTTTGAGACAATCTTTTTGTATCACATTTTTATATAATTTGACGTGTCATTTAAATGATTAGTTTTTTTAATTCATATAAAACTCATGATATTGAATGCATCCACTTATTTAATAGCATGCAGAAGTTGTATAAAAAAGTGATATAAAAAGATTATCCTAATAGCACTGCTCTATATAAAATATTTATAAATGCTATTAATGGAAAGTTCAATATTAAGATAAATTTTTCTAACATGTGCCTTTAGAACAAAGTTAAGAGTATATTCAATACACTTTTTCATCATAAATATACATAAAAAAAATATAAAAATTAATATTAATTTTAGTATCAAGTAAATTTAATTGTATAATTGATAAATTAAATGTTAATTTATATTTTTTCAATACAAATTATGATAAAAATATATATTTAATACACCCTTAATCTGAAGAACATAATTTATACAAACCTTATTAAGATATATATTTACAAAATTTTGATATCATCGACAACCAATAGTGACTATTGATTATACATCTATAATTGATAATCAATTTTGCTTATTATATATATAATTGATCTCCACTATTAGTTATCAATTATACATATATAATCGACACACTATTATAATCAATAGAGTTTCTATTGATAACTTTTTAATTGTCGATTATATTTTTATTGGTTAAATAAAGTTTTTTAGTAATATATATTTATTGATGCACTAAAATTTACTTTAACAATTATATTAGTCCCTATAAAAAATATAATAATGAATAGAGTATTGATCTTAGAAGAATTATTAACTAATTAAATATTAAAAATAATTAATTTTAAATATATTTAAATAACTAAAAAAAATAAAATAAAGATCAACCCAGATGGAAGGTCCAAGAGCACATGACTCGCTGAAAATTGCCCAAGGGTTGATACCTCATGCTAAGTGCCGAGACCATTAGTGCATCGATGAAAACAGATCGTATCGGATTTTTGGGCCAAAATGCAATTTTGTTTAATGGCAAAAAGACAATACTAGTCCCTAACTTCTAGTTTCTGCATAATTTAATCCTCTAATTTCTGATCCCTTCAATTTGGTCTAATCACACTAGCTTATTCATCCTTTGATTTTCTGAAATGTAGCAATTTAGTTCTCTAATTTGTAATTTCTTCCAATTAAATCCTTTTCTACACAAAAATTGAAAATTTTGTAAAATTAAGTAAAATATCATAAAACTCATTCAAATATTAATTCCACACCATATATATATATATATATATATAAATTCAGCTCATTAGCCATTTATAGTAGGCTTTGAAGTATTTGCTAACAAATACAAAGAAATCCAAATGGAGCACAGATAACAACCATTGAGAAATTAAATTATATTTGCATAAGTTTAATAAGATGAACATAATTTTAGACAAGAAAAAAGGTTTTGTTTATTGTTTAAGAAATAAGGCTTTCTATGCAAATTCTTAACCATAATTAAAAAATAATAAATCCATACTTTAAGCAATTGCACCTTAAAAATGTATTTATAAATGCCTTTAGAATTTTTAAAAATATTTTAATATCTAATATGAAACTATTAAAGAATTCATGAGATTCTTTAATATAATGTTGAAGCTAGAACTTATGAGTTCATTAAAAAATCACTAATAATAATAAAAGGAATACAAATAAGATGACTAGGAAAGTGAGATGCATAAAGGTTGGTGGAGGGGTTGAGAAAACATAGCAAATAATTGTCATTATTTACTAATTTGTTTTATTTATTTTTATTGTTAACTTCAATTTTATTTTTTTAAATAAGCAGAGTGAGGCTGCTAACTATTAATTGATCATTTTTGTCCATTTATTATAGGGAGTCAAGTATATATTTTTATAAGGTTAAATGTTAATTTTGGTTTCTCAATTTTAAGGTTTTATATAATTTTTATTTTTTAACTTTTTATGTATTTTTTTATTCTTTAACTATAAAAAAATATATTTTTTAATATTTCGTTAGTTAATTCGTTAAATTTATCTAAAAATATGCATATATTAAAAGTTGAATAATTAAAATATGTGTATATATTAGAAGTTGGAGGATTAAAAATGTCTAAATTTAGATAAATTTATCAGATTAACTGATAAAATGATTAAAAATATATATTTTTCATAATTACAAAATAAAAAATATATATAAATATTAAAAAGTAAAAATTATGTAAAACTTTAAAGTAAGTTAAGAATCATAATTCACATTTAACCTTTTAATAATGATACAGTTAACCGCAAAGTGCACGATGCACTCACCAAAGCGGGAGATGGGTAAGTTCAATTTTTGCAAGCCAATTTCCCGGTGTTCCTTTCTTGCCTTTCTCCAAAACCTTTCTCCAAAACCTTCCCAGAAAATAAGAATGCTCTCCAGTCTGCTGCTTACTCATTTGAGAATGTAGTCGCTGCATCCTAACCAAAATCTCATCTTGTCGATTTACACCTTCCATCGCTATTCGCCACAGTAAAGTCCATCACCTATTTTTATAGCGGCGATGATGAAAAAGACCCTACCTTTTTTTGACCCTTTTTTGTTCTTCACTGATCGTACAAAGCCAAGACCTTTCACGATCGCGAACACTAAGATACTTCATGCCCAATTCCTTAAAATGGCACTATTGCAATCCGATTTCTTTGTTGCGAATTCTTTACTTGATTGGTATTGCAAATCTGGTTCTATTTATAACGCAGCTAAGTTGTTTGATGGAATTACTCAACGAAGTGTAGTTTCTTGGAATACCATGATTTCTGGTTATAATGAAAACTCATTATTTGATGATTCTTGGAGAATGTTTAGAAGGATGCACTCGTTGGGGCTTGGACCAGATGAAACCACCTATGGGAGAGTGCTTTCAGCTTGTAACGCTTTGCAAGCTATTCTATGTGGCAAACAGGTTTATTCACTGGCGGTAAAAAATGGATTCTTTTCAAATGGGTATGTTCGTGCCAGAATGATAGATTTGTTTGAGAAAAATTCTTGCTTTGAGGAAGCTTTGAAGGTGTTTTATGATATTTCATGTGAAAATGTGATTTGCTGGAATGCCATTATATCTGGGGCTGTTCGGAATGGAAAAAATTGGGTGGCTTTAGATGTTTTCTGCCAAATGGGACATGGACTGTTAGTGCCAAATAGTTTTACATTCTCGAGTGTTTTGACGGCTTGTGCTGCACTTGAAGAGCTTGACACTGGAAAAGGAATTCAAGGGTGTATCATTAAACATGGTTCAGGAGATGTCTTTGTCAGCACTGCTATTGTTGATTTCTATGCCAAATGTGGAGAAATGAGTGAAGCTGTGAAGGAATTTTCACAAATTCCTACCAGAAATGTGGTTTCTTGGACTGCTATAATTTCTGGATTTATGAAGAAAGGTGATTCTGTCAATGCCCTTAAGTTTTTCAAAGAGATGATAAATATGAAGGAGGAAATAAACAATTACACATTAACTAGTGTGATTTCTGCTTGTGCTAAACCAGGCATGATTGGAGAGGCTGTCCAAATCCATTCATGGATTCTAAAGAGTGGGTTTTATTTTAATTCTGTGATACAAGCTGCGTTGATTAGCTTGTATTCAAAATTAGGATTTATTGTTTTATCCGAGATGGTGTTTAATGAGATGGAAGATATAAGTCATTCAAATACCTGGGCTGTACTGATATCTTCCTTTGCTCAAAGTCAGAGTTCTCATAGAGCTATAGAATTATTACAGATGATGTTACAGAAGGGTCTTCAACCAGATAGATTTTGCGCTTCAAGTATCTTTGGTGTCATAGAATCTATTAATATGGGAAGGCAGATGCACTGCTATGTTCATAAAACTGGGCTGGTTTGTTATCCTTCTGTTGGTAGTTCACTTTTCACAATGTACTCAAAGTGTGGTAGTTTAGAGGAGTCATTTAAAGTATTTCAGAAAATTCATGTCCGAGACAATATTTCATGGACTTCAATGATTGCTGGGTTTGTAGAATATGGTTGTGCAAATGAAGCTATTCAATTGTTTAAGGAGATGCTGTCTGAAGAAGCTAAACCTGATCAAATGAGTCTAGTGGTGGCTCTTTCAGCTTTTTCTTCTCTTCGTTCATTGAGTAGGGGCAAAGAAATTCATGGGTATGCTTTTCGTGCTGGACTTGGAAAGGAAACACTTATTGGTGGTTCACTTATAAATTTATACTCAAAATGCAGTGCCCTGGGATTGGCACAGAGAGTGTTTGACATACTTCCCCTAAAAGATGAAATTTCAGGCTCCTCCTTAATCTCGGGATATGTGCAAAATGGTTTAGTTGAAAATGCAGTGTTTCTTTTTCATGAATTGCTTATGTCTGATTTGGCAATAAACTCCTACACACTTTCTTCTGTTTTAGGGGCCATTGCACTTTTAAACAAATTAGGCATTGGTATTCAACTGCATGCACTCATTATAAGACTGGGATTCAATTCAGAAGTTTCGGTTGGAAGTTCACTTATTACAATGTATTCCAAATGTGGAAGCATTGAAGATTGTCAAAAGGCATTTTTTGAGATCAATCAACCTGATTTAATAGGTTGGACAACTATGATATCCAGCTATGCTGAACATGGAAGAGGTGCAGAGGCATTAAAGGTCTATGAATTGATGAGGAAAGAAGGAATCAAACCTGACTCGGTAACTCTTAGTGGAATTTTATCAGCTTGTAGTTATAATGGGCTGGTAGAAGAAGGCTATTTCTACTTTAACTCAATGTTGAAAGAGTATGGGATTGAGCCTGGTAATCGCCACTATGCCTGTATGGTTGATATCCTCGGCCGCGCAGGGAGATTGAGAGATGCTGAGAAGTTTATAAATAATATGCCAATTGAGCCTGATGCTTTAGTTTGGGAAACATTACTTGCTGCATGTAAAACACATGGAAATATTGAACTTGGAAAGCTAGCAGCAAAAAGGGTCATGGAGTTAGAGCCAAGTCATGATGGAGCCTATGTTTCCTTGTCAAACATCTGTGCTGACCTAGGCCATTGGAAAGGCGTGCTGGAGATTAGAAACCTAATGGAGGGAACTGGCTTGAGGAAAGAACCTGGTTGGAGTTTGGTTTGAGATGCAGTTATGCCCCAAACAAGTAAGCTTGCTTTGCTCTGTGGCTTTACTTAATGCATTATGCATCTGAAACTTTGTGCAGGAAATATATAGGTTTGTTTCTACTTTTTTCCTCAGAAGGTTTGAGGATGCTAAGGCACAGTTCTGAGGGTTGAATTGATTCATTTGTTATTAAAATAAACTTATATACATCTATATAAGGATAGGGATCGCCAGTCCTTCCTCCTAAAAAATTAGGAGTCCTTACTTTCAAAACTTTGCTGTTTCAATAAACACTCACTGGGAGAGACTAAAATAGTATTTCCTTATTCCTTTTATCAAAATAGGCTATTTTAGTCATTTTGAAAGGGTTTTTATGGAAAACGACATAGTTTGGGCTTTCATACTCCTAATTTCTGAGGTAAGACTGATATATACTTTTCGTTATATACACACACGTGTGCACATGTGCATGCACATGCTCACACACACAGATAGAAGAAATAATGTTCCAGCATCAAAATTATATCGAAAAAGAAGTATTCAAGGAGTTAGCAGTTGATCTCTTGCTTTATGTCTAGTGAAAAGAATATTGGTAGTCAATTTTCTTCTGGGTTTAAGCAGTGTCATCTTAACATAATTATGTTCTTACCTGATTGGCATCCTTGTTGGTTCTCATTTACTAAATACATTAGCCAAAACTCCAAGCCAATGTATTATTTCTGTTGCATCCATGAATAATTTCACTTCCAAATAGAATAGCTTCTTCCAATTCATGAATATCATTTTGGCTTTGAGTGCAAGACAGATAAAATGATGCAACTATTTGCAGCATTGTCTGCTTTTGATGTCTGGTAAAGTGAATTAGAATTAGAACACAAAAGGAAGAGGTCATATTTTCACTGACTAGAAACACATGAAGATTGGTGATGGGAACACAAGATTGACAATTCTTAAACATGAACTAGCACCTTTTGGAAAGCTAAAAGCTGTTGGAAAGATGTTGGAGATAAGTTTTTCATTTTCCTCTTTAACTTCTAGAGTGGCATTTTCCAGTGCCTGTGAATTCAATATGCTAATCATTATTTCCTTCTACAGAATATTATTGGCCAGGAAGCAGGAAAAAGTGTTACCAAAGAATATTGTGACAGAGAAGCACTTAAATCCCGCCATTAGCAGGCCTCACATTCCAACTTTAAAACTACAAGCAGTTTGTCAAACCTCCTTCGGGTGAATGTTCTTTCAGAGTAACCAAAAAAATCATTTAAAAACTTCATTCAAGGTTTCAGGCTTTGGTTATCAAACTGTATTGAAAACAGTCACAGGATCATGTTATCAACCAGATCAAAAAAGGATGAGGTTTCTAGTAATCAGGAAAAACAGGTACCAGCTGAGACCAGGGAATGAATTACCAACATGCATAGAGTAACCCCAAGAAGAAGAAACCTTGCAAAGTTGTTTCAGTTGCTGAAGTTACCCTAGGGTCAATTGTATTCCAGCAGGGGAAACCATGCTCATACAAAGCCTGCCAGCACTGACTGCTAAGCAATTGTTTATCTTGTGGCTAGATAGTCTGTGAGAAAGAGGGACAAGGGCCTCGCACATACACCTGTTTAGAAGGAAGTATGACTCCATTGTCAGATGCTGAGGCAGCAGCTGTAGCTTATGCCGATGGGCTTGTTGAATATATGACAGAAACTCTGCAGCACATACTAGTACTTATTGATCAACAAAGTGATTATTATGAGATTGAGGGCAACAGCTGGCTATCGAAAGAGGTGTCCAACATGTTTTTGATAGTTCCAATTAACAGTAATACACTATACATTTGAGTATTTGCTTGAAATTCACTTGTAATTTTCTTTTTCACCCAGGAAAAGGAACTTCCAAAGAAGAAACGAGGAAATTGAAGAACTTGTGCCTGCCAAATAAAGTAGAGTGATTATGACATTTGATTTGGTTGGCCATAAGTTATTGTTTCTTGCCAAATGACTCATGTTTGCCACTTTGATCAAAATTAAAAAAGAAAAGGTTTAATAAATTAGTATTTCCTTCTTCTATTCTATCTTTCACTTTTCTTTTAAGTTGCTAGTCATCCCTTGCTAACCTCATACTATAAGGCTGGTTAAAACATTGTGAATATGAAAGAATGCAAATGACAAATAAGATCTTCTATAAAACATTGTAATTGAATCAGAGCAACTCCTATGTGTTTAGGACAAGTAAATGGAAGAATGTATCTCATTATCTCGAGGCATGTAGGCCAGATGAATTTGCAGGAGAATGGAAGCCATTTCCTGAGAGGCTAGACCGCTACGCTGTGGCCGGGTTGAGCTGTTGCAATGTGACGAGAGGTTTTTTTTTTTTGTCTATTTTTATCATAAAAATATATAAAATATTAATTAAAATTATTAAAAATATATAAATATTAATTAAAATTATTTATTTATAATAAATGTACATCTTTAGATACGATGTTGTGGGAAAAAGTGTTGTATAAAGCCCTCTCGAACGAATTCTTAGTGCTGTTTCTTTCAGAATATATATATATATATATAGTGGGGCAATCCCTGGTGTATTTGTTGAGACATTGAAGGAGAATGTGGTGTTATAGAATATACATTTGACAGTGGATTCATCTTCGAACCGAATTGGAAGAACCAATGAAGGAAAGGAACCCCCAAAGGTCGAAGTCAACCAAGCCATTTATTTCGGTTTGCTTTAGAAATGAACTTCTGGCTAGGAGCCTAACATGAAAGGTGCAAACACCTTTTTTCCCTCCATTGCCAGAATATGCTCTAGTGATAAACAACTTTTTAACTTTTTTATATGACCCTAATTATCTAATCTTTTCATGACTTGATGATTCAAAAATACAATAATTATACACTTAACTTACTCCTTTAAAGTACAAGTTCAAAGAACCTTTTACAACCCATATGAACTTGTGGAGCTTATTAGTTAATGGTTACTGCAAGCTGAGGTTCACGAAGCAGAGAGAATGCATGCTGCATTGGGTAGAATATTTGTGCCATGAATAATGCCTTGGAAAAGAATCGATGGGATGTTTTGAGTGCATATCTAATATCTCTAATTCCTTGGAATAGTTAAAAATAAAAAATAAAAAAAATAAAAAACTTAATTGCAACGTCATTTTTTAATACAAATTGTTATAATAAAAGCTGTCACAAATATTATTTTAATAAAAAACTATTCTAATGAAAAAAAACGTCATAAAAGACCATTTCTTTCCTTTTTTGTGGTGAGTGAACTCCAGTGGGTACCTCAATGACTCATGCTTCTCCCTGTCCATTAAACAGAAGTGGCAATAGATTGTTAGAGATCTATACATAAAGAACATAAAGCAAACAATCTTGGTTATTTTTCACCATAATCCTTCTCTACTTTTTTTACGTGCCAAACAAGAGGAGAAAACTAAAAATTGGCATAAAAAGGAAGAACCTATAACAGATTTTCAAGACTAAGCCTATGTTTGAATAAAAATTAATAAAGGAAAGGAAGGAGAGGGGAGGGGAAGGAGAGGGATGAGAAGTGAAGGGAAAGAAAATGTTGATATTAATTTTGTTTGGATAGACAAAAGTGAAAGAGAAGAAAAGATAATATTTTTATTTAATTAAATAATTTAATAAAAAATAAAATAAAAAAGAATAAAATTTTTTAAATTTATTAATCAAATAAATAGTTAAAATAAAATGTTTATATATATTTTTTAAAAAAATTAAAAATAAAAATAAATTAAATAATGTAGTTTGTCTCAATTTTTCTAAATCAAACAAATTGAAAACAGAGGAAGAAAGGGAGCTCCATCTCTTTTCATCTCCCTCCCCTATATTAAAATTATTAATCCAAATAACAAAAGACGCTCTCTCCTCCTCACTCTCCTCTCCTTCCTTTTCAACTTTCTCAATCTAAATAGTGTAAATAAGAGGACCATACTGGTTAAAAAACCAAACAAAGATTTTGGAGAGATCTAAAAATAAGTCTCTCTTTCTCTCTCTCTCTCTCTCTCACTATTTTCACCCGCTTCTGACTACCTTTCCTATACATTTCGTTGTTTTTTTTTTTTTTTTTTTTTTTTGTGTTGGAAGCCCTTGGGCCTTTTGAGTTTTTAATGCTTGAGCCATCGGGATCTCTAGCTGCTCAAGCATGATGGAGTTGGTTTCGTGCTCCTTGCTCCAATGACCCCTTTGTGGTCTATCGGCTTTTGGAACCCCTTTGTGGTCTATCTGCTTTTGGGATCCCTTCTGGTGATCCTTTTCTTGTATTTCTATTTTTCTAATTTTGTTTTGTTCGTTTGATCTCAAATCCAATGGCCAACCAGTCCACCACGCAAATCTTAGAAGGTGGTTGCTAGTTTACCCAAATCTGGTGGCCATCAAGCCTCTCATGACAATTATGGGGGATGGTCACTGCTTGCCTGGATCCTCCCACCTCGGCGTCTTGGAGACCAAGCGCAACTCTTACAAGAGTAGATTGAAGGGTGTCTAGTTATCTGGATCGTTCGACCAAAGGAATCTGTACAAAGTTGTTCCTTTGAGATTGTTCATGTATTCTATTCATCGCCTTTCATTATCACTGTTGAACTGGGTATACTCTGGATTTTCTCTCCAATCGTACTTTATCTGTTTGTTATTTACTCTTATCCATAGGATAAGACTTTGCTCTAAATGCCATATGACGGTGTTGTAATGAAAAGATTTTGCTTAGTTCAAAAAAAAAAGAGGACCGTACTGGTTCAATAGCAACCCCCAACACTCACAACACTAAAAAAAACCTGCATGATATAACCTTTAAAAAGGATTTTTTTAATTTGTGCCCGGGTTAAAAGTATTTTTTATAATAAATGTGTATAAAAAATATTAAAATTGATATTAATTTTAATGTTAGATGAATTTAATTAGATAATTAATAAATAAAATTTTTATTTTTATTTTTTTAATATAAATTTATAACAAAAAGGTGTATTTAATAAACTATTAATCTATACCCTAAACAAATACTTAAAATAAAGGCAAAAGGCCCAAAAAGGACTTAATTTGATTTGAAAATAAGTTTAGGAGTTAGGTTGTCGAGGGTGAACAAATTCAGGACTAAGATTGTGTTTTTTCCATTTCCACTAGTTCTACAGAAACTCGTCTTCCTTTCCTAAACCTTGAAGACGACTCGTCTCTTTCATCAGTGTTAGAGAGAAAAAGAGAATGGAAACCCCAGGAGAATGGTTGGAGAAGGCGTTGGTGGATTTGTGCAAGAGGGTGGAGACGGGATTGGTTTTGGATGGAGAAATCATCTCCGGTTTAGTCTCCTACTGCGAGCTCGCTCAGCCCCTTGATGCCAAGGAATATCTTGACGTAATTTTTCATTTACCCGTCTCTCTAGTTCTTGATTAATCGTACTTTCTTATTGTAAGTTCATATCTAGTCAAATTTCAGGTGGGGTTTAGTAAATTAGTGTTGGGGTTGTCTATCGGCATCTCCTGTTTTCCTATGTTGTCTGTAAATTAGGAAGCTTGAATTTATCTGAAACTGTTTTGGATTGATTTTACTACTGATTGAGTCATTAGCAACTAAGATGGTGATAGGATGTATGATTTTTCGAGTTGGGTTCTTTATTTTTTGAGTTATTACTTGAACTGGTTAAAATCTTGTGTGAATTTAGTTAATTGATTGAGAATGGGTGAAATGCAATGAAACTGTATAAAATGCACTGCTTTGATCTTCAAGAATGGATGTGTTTCCTTGCATTTATATTATATGAACTCTACTTAAAGTTGAGCCTATTTTATATCAGTGTGGCATTGAGGGAGAAAGGATAGTATGTAATTTTTACTTTAAGCTCTGGTTTAGCTCCCCCACCCATGTTCCCTTCTCTTTTTCCTTATCTTTGTTTTCTCTGGTATTGAGATTTCGTTGGTTTTTTTACCCATCTATTGTTCTCTTCCCCAGTCCCTCTTGACCCCAACCCTTCATCATTTTTTACCAGGGTTTGAGGATGCTAAGTCACAGCTTGAGGGTTAAATTGATTTCTATGATATTAAGACAAACTTTAAGATTGTTTTTTCTATCTAGATATAGAAGCAGCCATGTTCCAGCATGAACATTATATCTTGATAAATCATAATATTCAAGGAGTTACTTGTTGATCTCTTGCCTTGTATGTTGAGTGGAGGGGATGAGAATACATAGTCAATTTTCTTTTGGGTACAAGCAGTATCGTCTCAGAATAATTCTGTTCATATTTGTTTGTTATTCTTGTTGGTTCTGATGTAATTAGTACATTAATCAAAACTGCAAGCCAATGCATTAATCCTGTTGCACGCATGAATAATTTCATTGGCAAATATAATACCTTTTATCCCATTCATGAACATCATTTTGGCTTTGTAAGTGCAAGATGGATAAAATGATGCTAGTATTTGCAGCATCATCTGTTTTTGATCTCTGGCAACGTGAATTAGAAAACAGAAGTAATAGGTTATTTTCATTGATTGTAAACATATGAAAGATGGAAGATCAGCCAGATAAGACTGACAATCTCTAAACAGGAACTCGCCTCTTTTGTAATTCTAAAAGCCTTTGGGAAGATGTCAGAGATATTATCTATTCTCTTTTTCCTCTTTGAATTTTAGAGTGGCATTTTTTTACTAGTGCCAGTAACAAGAATTCAATATGCTAATCTTTATTTCCTTCTGCAGAATATTATTGGCCAGGAAGCAGGAAAAAGTGTAACCGAAGAGTACTTGCAGCGGAGAGGTCACTTAGATCCCTCCAGTAGCATGACTGACATTCCAACTTTAAAACTACAACCCTATGTCAAACCTCCTTCAAGTGAAGGTTCTTTAAATGGAACCAAGAAGTTATTTAAAACTTCAAAAGAGATTTCAGGCTATGGTTATCAACCTGAATTGAAACAAGTCACACTCCCGGGTTATCAGACTGAACCAAAAAAGAATGCTGTTTCTAGTAATCAAGAAAATTGGCCCCCAACTGAGACCAGTGAATCAAGTACCAACACACATAAAGGAAATCAGAGCAAGCCTAAGAAGAAGAAAGCTGGCAAAGTTGTTTCACTTGCTGAGGCTACCAGAGGGTCAATAGTATTCCAGCAGGGGAAACCATGCTCTTGCCAAGCCCGCCGGCACCAACTGGTAAGCAATTGTTTATCTTGTGGTAAGATAGTCTGTGAGCAAGAGGGGGAAGGGCCTTGCAATTTCTGCGGTGCTCTTGTTCTGAAAGAAGGAAGTACATATGCTGGCTTACAAGCAAGCTTGACTCCTTTGTCAGATGCTGAAGCAGCAGCTGAAGCTTATGCTAAAAGGCTTGTTGAATATGACAGAAACTCTGCAGCACGTACTACAGTTATTGATGACCAAAGCGATTATTATGAGATTGAGGGTAACAGCTGGCTTTCGAAAGAGGTTTCTAACATATTTTCACATTTCTAATTAACAGTAGTACATCATTTGTTTGAGTACATCATTTGTTTGAGTATTTGCTTGAAGTTCACTTGTAATTTCCTTTTTCACCCAGGAAAAGGAACTTCTAAAGAAGAAACAAGAGGAAATGGAAGAAGCTGAGCGTGCCAAACGAAGTAAAGTGATTGTGACTTTTGATTTGGTTGGCCGCAAGGTATTATTTCTTGCCAGATGGCCCCATTTGAGCCTGTTGATAAGCCATTTTGTCCTTGACCACTTTGATCATGTTTGCCTGTTATTTTATTATCATGATTATTTATTATTGCTTGCATAAAGCCTGCCATTCCAATTCTCATTTCATCAGAGTTTCTGCTTCTGCCATGTTGCCCTTATGAACCTGGATGTTTCCTTTTTCCACAAGTCATTGAAATGTTTTTCTTTTCCTTTTGATCGGCAAATGAAATAGTTTTATTTAAGTGTGGAGAGTATGAGTCATTGGCATATTGTACTAGTTATTTGTCTGTGCTCCCCTTCTTTCTAATGCACTGATTTTTTTTTGCAGGTCCTGTTGAATGAAGATGAGGTTTCAGAACTAGAATCCAAGAACAGTATATTACTAAGACCAACTGATGAAAGAGAAGTGAACCGAATTAAACCAAATCCAACTCTCAAAGTGCAACCAGTTTTTGTGAATCCAGGCCCGTTGAATAAGAAGCCTTCTAAGGATGGCCAACCAAGTAAGAGCATCTCCAATGGCCTGTGCTTGGAGATCACTGGAAGGGTGCAGCATGACAGCAATGAGTCGAAACATTTTATGACAAACAAGGAGGTTGGGATGACTTCAGAGAGTACATCTTGGCAAGGGCCATCAGTAAATGCCAGTCTGCAAGACAATGATAATGTTGAATGTTCTTTAGATTACCATTAGATTCAACATCCAACCCACCATGAATTTTGGTTCTCTCTTCCATTTGGGCATCAACCAATTTGCCAGAACACAATTTTCTGGCATGAATCACAAAGATGACCTTGTTTCCTGCTTTGCTTGGAAAACAAAGTAAATAAAGCACTGCTGTGTTTCTTTTTCCTGAATATCATGTTATATACAGGGTGATCTTACTTAATGGTTCATTTAGGTTTCTATGCAAAATTTGAGAGAGATGGGTGAGTTGAATGACTCCAGATGTACAGTTTCTGTATTAATTCTGTTCTCTCCAGTCCAGATTCAACATTTCATTTGGAATTAACAAGCATTTTCAACGATCAATCTTGGATTCGAGAGTTTAAACTCTTATAGTTCTGCTGTATGAGGAATTGGAGAGGTTGACTGGAGCTGCCTTGGATGATGTCTTTTTGTTCATGAGTTTCATTCTCACGAAAGGGCGGTTTGGTATAGCGGTTTTAGAGATAGTAATTAATAGTTTCAGACTAATAGATAATGATTAGGGTTTAAATTATTAATGGATTAAAATTTTTTAATTTTATTAATAAATCTTTTTTTATTTTTTCTTTTTTTGTTACAATTTTTAACTAGTACTTATTTAATTAGTTTTAACTTTATTTTTATCTTTAATAATATTAAGTAATCATTATATTTTTATTTTTATATTAATTTGTCATAAAAAAATATATTAATTT